AAATCTATGAATTTAGAAAAACCATCACACCTACCTCAATTTCTAATTTGTGGACTTCAATCATGGTTTATGTTTTATCTTTTTTTCTCTTGATTTTAACCCTTAAAGTCAGTCACCAATACTATAATGCAGTAAATACAATTTAAATAGCTGGTCAAAATATAAGGCTTCTTATTTTATGATAGTAAGCAAGGGAGAAAAAAATACTTCTTCTGCCAGTCTCACTTCATGTGCTAATATGCCTTTTCCCACCCAATGTTTTATTATTATAAAAAAATGGCAAAAATAAAGAAAATTTGGAAGATATACGTCATTCACAGCTATTCACTGAACAAATACTATTTGAGAAAGTCCTACCTATAGTTTATTTCCTAATACTTCTCCATCAGTCATAGATATTTGCAAACCTCGTCGCAATGCTTGGAAAAGAAGACATGCTGTGAGTATTTAGAAATGAATTACTGAAATGAGCACAATCTAAAACAAAATGTATAATTGTACGTATATTACAGTGGTTTTCTTATTTGAAATGAAATCTAAAAGCCTTCACAGCACTGTTTTGTGTTTCAAGCTACCACTATAAACACATGCATATTAAAAAAATAAAATTACCCAAGCAAGGCCAAGTATATAAATAGGTTTCTATGTGGTGGCATTTCATGTAATTCAGCTATTATATTTACCCATAGGTTGACATTTCTCAAATGAAAAAAAATTCTTTCACTACATACAAAATTCGTTTCCCAAATATCTCAGAGTCTAATGAAAAAATAATTTCCTTTCTACTACTTCATTTTTATTTAAAATTAATTTCTTAGAATGTTTAGGTCTTATAAACATTATAACTTGGAAACTTCAGTGCCAGGATGAAGAATCTGTGCTTTTAAACATAGAAGGGAAATGGGGTATTAAGTTTTTTTTTTTTTTCAGTTGATTAGTAAAACTCAGTTTATAAGGTGTCAATGTAATGGGTTTCCATTGATAATTACTGAAAACAAAGATTACATTTTTTCAATACTTAGTTTTGGATTTTTAATACCAATGAACGTTTGTGCAGTGTCATGACTTGAATTTTATGCTGTTCCTTTTAAAATAAGCTATAAATAAAGACATTTTCATAGAACTTGAAAGTACTCTGACTTTTATTTGAATTTTTCCTTCCATTCATTGCTAACTTTCAACAAAAAGGGCTTTAATTCTAAAGGAATTGTCGCTCTTGACAATTATGTGTAATAATTTGTGAGTATTAACATAGGTCAATGTTATTTAGAATTTTTTTTAACATCAGATTACCATTTTCAAATATTCACACTTACAAATCATCTATCATTTCAAGAAAAAGAAAGTGATATTTTTTACCATCTTCAATATTTTATAATCTTCAAGATCCAATAGACGATTTTTAAAGACTCTAAATGCTAAAAACCACAGAGAAATGAATAATAACATTACTATTTTTTCCATTTCAGAGTACGTGATGCTTGAAACATTTAGGAAAAATGACAATTTAATAGCAGAGTGAAGTTAGGTAAGACATTACTTTGAGTCTGACTTCCAGTTGTTAAATAGAACATTTGCTTGTCATTCTGCATTGCCAGCCATACAGACAGTCATAATTCGACAACAAATATTTTATGAGCTTGTAGCTATAAATAAAAGATGTGAAATTTTACGACTATCTAATATGGCTAAAAATCTAATAAAATCCTGTTCACCCAAATCAGTACGTTTTTAAATAAAATTTTGATTTTTTAATAAAATATTTATTAATTAAATTATTTTGAATAGATAATATCTACATGTGTATACTGTATTTGCCCGCATAAAAGCTAAAGTGAATGATTAATGATTATCGATCCATGTTGATTGAAAGTAGGAAGTATATATCTACTAGTACAATATTTGAAGAGCAATCAGATGTAACTGAAGCCAAATAATTCACACTACTTATGGACATTTTGTCAGAATCACCTCATTTGTATTGATTGTTTTAAGGATAGTCGTGAAGTTTTGAATTTTAGGAGTCCCTTTGAAGATGTGGCAGATGTTGGTTTTGCTAGTAACCCTGAAAAGCATAGCAGGTTCAAAGTTTCAAAAATTTTTAACGCATATAAAAAATAACAGTGTGTTTTTCTACTGCACTTGGTTACTTGCAGTTGTGAATAAACCATAATGTAGACCTAAAATCTACAAATGTTTGCTTCCAAACCACTAAGCCGGTTGAGTTTGTATATGCGTGCATCCATATTTCTTTGGGGAGGGAATTAAGCATAAATACATGCTGGAACTGCTGTATGTTATAGGTTAGCATCATTATTATGGACACAAAGGTAAGATTTATAAATATTTGAGCTCTTAATGCTTTCTGGGGCTTAAAATTCTGTTAGAATTTAACATGGTCATGGGCATATCCACATATAGTTCGCCTATTAGAAGCAAGAATACTGGGTTTGGGTTCTGAGTTTGTCCTGGATTTATGTACCAGCTTACTCTCAACTATAAATAGTCATTATAAACTGGCTAACAAAATACAAATGATCTCCACTATGAGTGACATAATTTTTATCTAATATAATTTTATATTTTAAGATTTCAGAAATCACTTGAATTTTATTTTTTAGAAATAGCAAAATATTAAAATGTGTTATGATCAATGAGAGATACACACATTAGTAATTTACCAGGATTGTAATCATTGTCAATATTGCCTTGGTTTCTGCTAGATCAAGATGTCCTCATAACACTAGGAAATGAAATAGTTTCAAACATGAATTATGGAAGAACAAACACAATCATTACTGGAGAAGGAAATCTTGAACTTAAATCCTTCTACAGATCTAACTGATATTAATTAACTCACACTGAAATGGGCAAATGAAATTTTATTTTCAACAAGTATATATAAATTTAACCAGACTATTGTGATAGTTCTGTTAAGTTAGCCACCATTTTTTCAAAATATTTCACCAAAGGAAATGCTGATTCTAAGTCCCAAGTGACAATACCCTGGGTGATGACTACTCCTATTTCCCACTCAAGTTGTAATCTATGAATTCTTTATGCAGCTGAAATAAACATTTATTTTTGTTTGTTTTTCCAGTACCCTAATTCTCAGCTTCAACATACAAAAAATTAATTCTATCTTGTTAAATGCTTATTGCTCACCAAAGGGGTGAGGGAGATAAGTACTAGTCAATTATCCCATTTTTAAAGAAACTATTTATTACAGTAATTGAATTGAATTAATTCTTGAATCTCATTTTCCCTTTTTTCCCCCAAGCAAAATAGCGTGCCTGTGTGAAAATTCGGTTTGCCCTAAGAAACTTAGGGATGTTCATTCAGTTCGGGAAGCATAAGGAAAATTCTATCACGTAAGTTTCTAGCTGCAAAAAGCAAAATGAACAGTAAGATCTTCTGGTCATTGTAAAGTACTGAGATCAGCCTAAAGCTAGATCCGCTTCCCAAACTTACAGTGATACCAAATGCTCCGTTTGTGAAAAGGTCACTGCACTCTAAAATTGATTTTCTTTTCTAATGAAAATGAAAAACATTCCTGTGTTTAACCTTTCACTTATAGTTAATAAAATACATTACTACTGGTAACTTATAAAAACTAATTTGTGATGGAGCATTAAAAATTCACCCCTGACCTTGAAAAGTAAAGGTAGAGACTGCGCAGAGCAACTGATACCCTCACCGGGAAGGAATTGGAAGTGCACGGCTCAGTCGGGGTCATTTGTGTAGCGTCTTACCTAAAGATTTACAAAGGATAAACATTTTTCACTCCTTCGACCAATATCTGAGATTACCTTCCAGGACTATTTCGCCAGTTCCCCAAAGGCAAAAAATAAGCAAATGTAATATTAAATAAATGGCATCTTCCAAAAAGGTAGGAACCCAAGTTGCACGCCCTATAGCTGTGAAAGAAAAAGCACAACTCTCTTAATTGTAAAGTATTTTTTAACAATTTTATAAAGAATCAGATAGGTAAGAAAGGGCTTTGAAGCATTATCTGGAAAACTGAGTTTCTCTGGACTACTTCAATTGACTAGGCAAGCTGTGCTTTCAAGCATCGGAGTTCAGGAAGGTTCCCCTTTTTGCCCGAGTGCCCAGGTTATCCCCACTTAGATCAGAGCCTCCTGATCGCACCGTCCAATACCACCGGCAGGCACAGCGCGAACTAGCACTACCCAGTTCCTGTTTGTTTCCTAGGACTCGTCTCCCAAAATACCCAATTGGGAAATGATTTTACTTTAAAAAAAAAAAAAATTCAGATTCTCATTTAGACCAGCACCAAATGAATACGAACTACTATTAAGATTCATCTTTCTTCTGAAGTCTGACCATCTATTTATTTAAAATTCATAAGTACATTCCTTAAAATTTCTGAATTCCTAAATAATGTCTTCTTCCCCAAGAAAGGGAAAACTTTACCATTGGAATAGGGTGCTATTTAAAGAACTCTGAAATCAGTATTAAAAAAAAAAAAACTATTTTTTTTCTCATGTGCTTTGCCAAGTTCCATTGCAAGTTCCAAATATTGTGCAATAATTTGGAAATCCAGTTAACGATGGGAAAAATCGAGCCACTCGGAGTCGGGAACTTGCAAGAGAAAAGTCAAGGAGCGGCACCGGCACGCACGCCTGCCGGGCGGACGCTGCGTCCCAGGGCGCACACCCCTCTACCCTCAGCGCTCTGGTGCAGTCACGCTTCGCAATCGATTTCACATGCTGTCACTTGTCCTTTCTTTCTCTCCACCTTCTGGTAAACTAGTTTGGGACTTAGAACTACAATCTGCGTATGTATGGCCCTCAGATAAATACATCCCTCCAAATAACAGGACGAAACTTGCACCATTGAATTTGGCCCGGGGAGACAGAGGCAAGACGCTTCCCATCTTCCCCACCGGCTCCCAATAGAGTGAAAATTTTCTCTGGCATCTCTCCGCCCCTTTTCAACCCCAGGCGCACTACGGCTGAGGGTGCCTGGTGCGCCCTTACCTGAGCTGTCGCTTTTTCTCTTGCCGCCACTTCTCTTCTCAGCCTCCGCGGGTGACAGAGCCTGGCGGCCGTAGTCCCCCGGCGCGCACGTGGCCCCGGTTGGGGTGCTGGAGCCCAAACTAGAAGAATTGGAACACAGGACAGGCGGGCTGCTCCCCAGCTCCGGAGGCCCTCCGGAGTCGGGCTGCAGGCAGAGGCTGTGCCGAGCCGCGCTCGGCGGGGAGGACATCTGCGGGAGGTGCCAGTTGGGCTGCAGAGCCTGGTGCTGCTGCTGCTGATGGTGGTGGTGGTGGTGATGGTGATGGTGGTGGTGCCCCCTGTGATGCTGGCTGGCAAACATGCCCTCCTCGTTGGGGTATCCCGCGATTATGCAAGACGAGGAAGAAGTAGAGAGCTCGGGGTAGGACATATGGTCCGATCTTCCATGGAGGGCGAGAGAGGACTGGGAGAACGGGTGCAAGCTTTGCGCGGTGGCGTGAGGGCTGCGAAGGCAGCCAAAGAGCGGGTGTTCCATAGCATGCAAATCTCGGGTTCCAGGCAGAAGACTTCAAGACGGTTCCAAACGCCACCACTCTCTGTCACTTTTCACTAGAAACCGTGTGACTTTTTCCCCCTCCCAAAGCAAGAGTCGCGCGCACTTCTGCAGAGCTCAGATAATCCTGGTTCTGAGCCCTAGCGGCCGGTCTCCTTTACATAGGAACGCTCAGACCTTTAGGAGCTTCCCCGAGCTACTCAGATGTCAAGAGTGAGAGAGGTTGAAGCCAAAAGAAGGTGGTCCCAGAGAACTGCTTCAGGGGGAAATGGCTCTGAGAGGTTATAAATAGAGTGTAATGTGAGCTGGGGGCTGGCTTAGGAGCCCAGCGCTGACCACATGCAAACTCCCTCCAAAACTCCCGCTCAGTCTGCGCCACGCGCTCCAAGTTCCACTTCCTATCGCCGGCTGGACAGACGCAGCGCGTCCACGCCCGCCCGCCCCAGCCAGCTGCCAGGGCTGCGAGCGGCGCGCCCAAAGCCTAAATCCCGCTCGGAGCGAGCACTGATTTTGCCCTCCAGGCTTTGGAGGCCAAGTGCGCCTGGGCGCACAATTGGAGCCCCAAGTCCGCACCCGGTTTCCTAACCGCTTACTTTTCTGTCGGGAAACGTGACTTGTCATTGCCTCTTGGGAACAGCCACCTGCAGGAAAGCTAGGGCGCGCCTAGCCCTTGAGAAGCACAGAAGAAGTAATAGAGTTAAAAGAAAAGATCATAGCTAGTTTGGCCCACGCTCGGAGAAGCATTTTTTGTTTTTTTTTTCAAACTTCCCATCTCCGGTTGCTCTGGGCGCCAAAGCGAGCCTAGGGTTTTGCAGCTGGTGTCTGCGTAGGTGGGTTGTTGATGGGCTCCAACTCCAGGTCCGGGGGTTCAAGCCCGCTAGCTGAGTACTAGAAAAGGTGGTCCTCGGTGCAGAAAGGAGAGGGACCTGGTGGGCAAGGAGAACAAAGCCAGAGGCGGAGACGGTTGCAGATGCCCGCGCCCTGGCATCTCACATCCGATGCCAGGTGGAGTTTCCCTCTGTGCTGGCTTTTCCCAATCAATTTCCTAGCCTCTTGAAAACAAGAAATTTTCTTGGGACAGGAATATTGCAAAGCGAATTTGCCCCAGTCATTTGAGATGTGTAGATTGCACGCTTATTTCTAGCCTTTTCCCCTTAGAAGCCAGACCAGGTCTCCTTATTTCTCTCTGGAAATCTACTCTTCCTCGCTCAAAAATAAATCAGCTAATTGCTCCCCTTCTCACCCTTACGGTTTCGTTTACTGAGAAATATTACAATTCGATGTTCTCCAAAGGGCACAAGGTTTGCGCTCTTCGAGATATCCCAGGTTACAATGTGAAAAAAACTAGCCAGAAAACTTGTCACCAGTGAATATGTAAGCGCGAAGGATGGTCGTCGGTACTGCATCTTGCTTGGGAATGTGTGTGTGGGGTTGGTGACAAGGTCTGCTGGGGGCAGAATCGTTTACACAAAACATGAGAGTGGCCAGTAAAGAGCCAGAGGAACAATCAGATCGGTCTGGGACCTGTTGCGTCAGGAGACTATCTGTATTCACCTATCCTGCCTTGAGTCCCAAATGCGCCACCAACAGTGTCCACCGGCTATTTTCATTGTCTCAGGTGTCCAGAGGATGGGGACTAGGTCTTTGAAGTTGTTAAGGGGATTAATGGGTACAGCAAACTGAGCTGACATCTGGTTTGAATTAAGAAAAGTATTGATTAATCTTTGCGAAGTGTCCCCAAGGCAGAACCTTTCCCCTACCCGGTCCCCCCTGCCTAAGCCTGATTATCTGCCTTTTCTTTTAAGTCTCGCTACAGAATAGTGGCTTCGTAGGAAACCTTCACATCCGTGTGAAAGATCGAATTGTTTTCCATTGCTTAGAGGTGGGGTGGAGTGGGGGGTGATCAGGAATTCTGAGATTTGTAAGAGCTGCTTTCTTTAACGGAAATTGAGCCCTATTTTGAGGGAAATTAGTTTTGCAGACTTCGTTAAAAAAAAAAAAAAAAACTAAAACTTTTGTTCACCAGCTGCTCAGCTTTTCAGTCTGAGTCTGAGCTGGAACCTGCTGCAAGTCTTTGACGGTAAGACTTTCTTTGCCGATATTTTGGGAATCTAATATTGTTTTAGACTTCGAAAGGGGGTGTTCTTCAAGTTGCACGTTTCTAAGGGTTTTAAGCACTCGCAGGAAGGCGTCTAGGACTTAGATCTTAGGAATATTTCTTCCTGCCACTCCCCACGCCCTTGGCTCTTTAAGAATAAGAAAGGGGGGGGGGTCTATTCCTCCAATATCGTCGGAATATTTTTTGAATTTTCATTGTGTTTATGGTTTCAATATGTGCTCTGATATTAAAAGTTGAAGTACAAAGAGCAACACTAAACTTCCCCAACTCGTGTGGCTCCTCTATGGATTCTGGGTGAAAGCGTTATTTTAAAGTGAAATGTAGGCGACCACCTCAATAAAACAAACCAGAGATATTTACATAATATAGTGCAGTCAACTAACAGCATTATGGAAAATGTCAGATAAGACTGACTAAAAATACACTTGATCTGCAAACATCAGTAAAAATTTAAAAAAAAATCCATAAAAGTCCTTTTGGTTTGCATTACATTGGTTAGAGGGACCTGAGCTATTGCCAAATGAATGGATTTAAATTTAACCAGGATGTTGCAGGTAACTAGCAACTAGCAAAACACAAACCTTTCATCTTCAGGAGCCTGCTACATCTTCTTGAACCTGCACAGTGACTGTGCTGGCTTTTTTCTCACTCACTGTCAGATGTTAACAACATGTCTAGAAATTTCCCCACAACCTGCCTCAGTCTGTCAGCCCCTGAAACTGTAGGGTCAGAAATCTGGGAAGAAAAAAAAAAATTAGACAAGGTTAGAAAGGGAGGGAGTCTCTCCAAAAAGCATGCCATTAAAACAAAGCTAACAAGAAAGATCTTTTAAATTGAAGACACAGAATATTTAATATCAGTAATAATTATGAGGTCCAGATTTCTACAAGAAAGCATAATATAAGGAAAATAGTTAGAACAGAAAAACATGTGATTCAATGGAGAAAGAGGGTCTTCTTGCCTTCCAGAATTAAATATTATTTATTAAATTTTCTCTGAATTTTAAAAATATATTATGACACAGGAGTTTTTATATTTTCACTTAGTAGAATATTTGGAATAAGATAGAATGTTGATTTTCATTTTCTACACCACAAAGTTTTTTTAATGTATTAATAACAGGAAAATAAAATCTCCAGAATTTCCTGCAATTGCTTCAGTGTTCACATCTATAAAATCCAGTGATGAAAGATGCCTTTTACCTAAATGTATCAAGAAGTAAAAATTATAAAATTTATTATAAAATTTAAAAATTATCTAAAACTGTATATAGTGTAGTATTTGTCATCTAGTTACAACATACTTGGGTTTTCAAGTAGAAAATTTTGATAATAATGTCAATATTTCACACACAGTTTTAATATGAAGTAGCCCATTATAAAGAAGTTGATTATGTAAAAATGTAAGCTAATCCGCTTTTGTACGGTCCATAAACATAATTATTTTAAACAAATGCTAGGATTCCCAAACTTCAGAACCATGTTTATCTATTGTTCCCTCTGCCTAAGTACAATAACACGCAATAGGAAAGTCAGAGAGTTGTTTAATTAGAATTATTTTTTTAAAGGGGACAAGAGCACATATTTTAAGCAATCCGAAAAAAATTATATTTAAATTTCAGCTAAGACTCATGATGATTCTTTTGAAAGTTGTCATTTATTGGCACATTCGTGACATGAGGTATAGGAATTAAAATACTTAAACTGAAATACGATAAAACTCTACTTTGAATGCTACCTGATAGATAAATTTACTGTGGTGTTATATTTAATAATATATGAATTTAAGGGTGAATAATTACATTATTGGACTTGTCTCTATAAATTTTTTGAGTATAGAAATAATACTTTTGCTATATTTCCCCCCAATAGCTATTATGTCCTTAAGTTGATTTTTCAGAAATAAAAAATTAAAAATATATATTGAAATATGCTAAATACATATTGGTGATACGTGTGATTTATGATGTACCTCATTTTATAAAACTAAGGATTGTCTTTCTCCAGGAATAATGGATTATAAAACATAACAAACAAATTTGCTTGTAAATAATGCATGTTCTTTAGTGATTCTGTATATGTTTACAGATTTTTAAAATGTTACTATTTTGACATAACACTAGTTGGTGTCTTCATAATAAAACTTGCTACATTCCCACATGTACTAGAAGAAATGAATACGTAATAACATTACTTCTGAATTCTAGAACAATATCTAACATACTTTGTTTTTTCTAGTTTCCATGTCCTCTTGAATTTAGAGTTGCAATTTCTTTCAGAAATTAGTGAATTTCTTCAATTCAAGTACTTTACAGTAAATGATACTATGCTAACCACTAAATACAATCATGCCTGAAGCAATGAGTCAAAACAAAATAAATATATCAAAATTAGAATTATTTAACATATAGTGTTCAGAAAACCCCCCATGAAATATAGGTTATGAGTGATAAAAATTAAATGTAAAAGTTTAAATTAAAACTTCATAATGCAATTTCATAATTTAATTTGCTTTCCACATATATCCAATATGTTTTATGAGATTCTGATATTTATGTTTGATCTTTTATTTACTTTTTATTTTCTGGGGAATGTTACAATTCGGAAGATACTGACCCGCTCTCAAATTCAAAAGTTCTAACTGGACTTCCTTTAGTTTACCTTTTTTAAATCCAAAGTTTTTCCACAGTTACCTTATGATAGCCCAAATGAAAAACAATTATATTCAAATACCATATTTGCATTTACATGCACTTTGAAAGTAATCTTTTTAATAAATATGTGCATTTTCATAATTTATATGGTTGAAAATTATTCTTTTCCATGTCAAATTGAGAAATGTACAGGCGTCCCAATACAAGATATTTCTATAATGAAATGCTATATCATTAAGTTACAATTTCCAGAGCATCAAACTCATAACCATTAAATTTCTATCCCCAACTTTGGAGAATTAAACTGCTTATTTTTTCCATGTCATAAAAGGTAGTGCTGTCCTTTTATATGGATTGAATTTAGAAAAGTTCATAAATCTCAGAGAAGAAAAATTCAATCGAAACTACAGACGGGAATTATATATAAAACCTTCGTCTTCTGTTTTAAGTTTTCCAACTTGAAGAGTTTAACATAACTAATGTAATT